AAAGCGGTAGCGAGTGAACTGTCGGAGGTTCGGCTCAGCCGATCCAGATGTTGGACTGGCTGAGTCAAATGGCTTCTTCACTTCGGCTCAGCCGATCATGCAGAGCATGTTCGGCTGACTGAAGCCAGCCGGAGCCAGCCGATGTACGGCTCAAATCAGCTAAACAGAACCGAAGTGAAAAGCTGAACGGCATTTGCTCACTTCACTTCGGCTGGGTTATTCACTCGGCTGCTTTCTGGAGCTTAGTGAATGTTTGTTAGCTGCCAGCTATAATAACAACCAAAAAATTCCAAATTGTGCCCATAGGTCTTTGTACACATCAGTGAACGGCATGATTGGGTTTCACAGACATTGTTGTGCTGTGTATAAGTAAGCTAACATTCCACAGCTCCAGCGCAATGGCTTCCGGTTTCAGGTGTCTGCCCCGAACAATCTCCTGTCATTCTGGGACACAGTTAGAGCTTCAAATGTCTCTATTTTTTTATATCTTCGCTTCCTCTTGCAGGTGCCTACCTGATCTAACTGCTCTCCAGAGTATCAGGCAGTGATGCAAATTAGGGTTTAGTCAAGGCTAATTGATATAGGAAAATGACAGTGAAACATCCAGGAATCTCACATGTGTACTGAACAGTCCCTGGTTTGACATTAAGGCTCTAATTACACCTTTGTGTAAACTTTCATGCATGCTTTTTTCATGTATTGACACTTGCTGCATTAAAGGGTACAGTATATCATACAAGAAAAAACTAAAACACATTCAGTACATTTATCTGCTGATCTGTCAGAAATCCAGTGCGCTCCTAAGTCCTGTTGTGAGCTGACAACAGCAAAGCTTCTTTTGTGGTTTCAGCCCTGCAGAGTTGTAGTTTGTTATATTCCTTAACCAACCCTGCCACCCTTATCTCTACAACATAGACACAAAATTATTCTATAGTCCAAGACTACAGAGACTTAAAAGGGATAATAAGACTCCTTGAGATGAGAGAGGAAGTGTGCACAAGACAGAGAGCATGTTTACATTTCTGGCATGATCAACGGTTTGTTTGTTTGGTTTTTTTGTAGTTATGGAACAGAAATAACAAAATGCTTTTATCAGTATATTTAAAGAAGAACTTTTATTATCCCTTGCAGTGGGGCTGCCACGCACTTCAAGGGTTCAGTGCTCATTTTCGTCTAGGTGCTAAAATAAATAAAGTTATACTCACTTGAACCTCAGAGTCTGTGTTCTATCGAAACCTCCAACTCCTCCAGATCTCCAAAAATCTGACTTCCGGTTTAGTTACAACTAAGTAAGAGGTTCGGCCGAGAATGTTCTACTGCACGTGCGCCACCCGCGGCATTTCCCTATACACATACTACACAGCAATAAAGTATTACAATAAACTAGGGTCAGACTAATCCAGCACGTTATTAATCTGAGTTGCCTCACTCAATATTGCCGCAAGCGACGGACAGAGTGGGGCATCTCAGATTAATAACGTGCTGGATTAGTCTGACCCTAGTTTATTGTAATACTTTATTGCTGTGTAGTATGTGTATAGGGAAATGCCGCGGGTGGCGCACGTGCAGTAGAACATTCTCGGCCGAACCTCTTACTTCTAACTAAACCGGAAGTCAGATGGTTGGAGATCTGGAGGAGGTGGAACTTTCGATAGAATACCCGCTTGCTCCTAGACTAGTCCTTCCAGCCTTGCGCCTCCTCTATTGTAACGGTCTAAGGTCCCTGAGTCATACACTGTGTATTAGACGTGAGGACGCTGAGGGACATTCCATCGCTCCAGAGGAGGGGAAGAGAGGCTGGAGGGAGCGATGTAGGAGCCAACTCTGAGGATAGGGTGAGTATAACTTTATTTTTGCAGCTAGACCAAAACGAGCACTGAACCCTTGCAGTGCGGGGTAGCACCTCTGCAAGGGTTAACAACGGTTTTGCCCGGAGTTATTCTTTAAGATACCAAAAAGAAGCAAATAACAGAAGTTCATTGTTACCGCTCACAAACACGTTAAGGCTCTGGGCACACCGATTGACATAGGCTTTTTCTGTGCATGCTCATTGCATTAAAGCTGCCAGTTCAATTTAAATGGGCCAATAAAACGCCACAATGCATGAGAAAAAAACAGTCCTGTTGGATCTTTAGGCAAAACAGCTCACCACAAATGCATGCAGCATGCACATTAAGAAACATGCGCTGGTTTGCGCTGAAGTGCAGGAACACTGCTTCATACTGTACAGGTGAAACTCGAATAATTAGAATGTTGTGCAAAGTTCATTTATTTCACTAATGCAACTTAAAAGGTGAAACTAATATATGAGATAGATTCATTACATGCAAAGCAAGATAATTCAAGCCGTGATTTGTCATAATTGTGATGATTATGGCTTACAGCTCATGAAAACCCCAAGAACCCCAAATCCACAACCTCAAAAAAGTAGATTATTACATGCAATCAATAAAACAAGGATTGTACATAGAACAATATCGGACCTCTGAAAAGTACAAGCATGCATATGTACTCAGTACTTGGTTTGGGCCCCTTTCGCAGCACTTACTGCAATTACTTTTGCACGATATTCTAATTATTCGAGTTTCACCTGTATATGTGTGTTTGGGGGTGCTATTCGGAATAAAGTTGTCGCGTGCCGGGGTAACAAATGCATAGTAAAACCTTTTTTAACATGCACACAGAGGACTGACTTCAGCCTGATGGTAATCTATAATGTTGGAGTCAGTTTCGTTGTAATCATATCTGCTAAAAATAAAATACTGTGCTCTCCAGTTACAATAGAGTGTCTCTTCTTCCCCATCTAGTGGACATGTGTGGTATTGCAACTCTTCCATTGGAATCTGGAAAGTGTACATCCTTTTGGACATATTTAATAGGGCAGCACAAAGGGCAGTGATAATGTGCACAGTGGAATAACACAGAGCAGCCAATCAGATTTCACTTTACTGGAGTCCAGTTTGTTAGATGTTCCATGTCAAATATTTGTTTGCATCGACTGATCCAATCATTGGTACTAATAGTAGCATATCATTAGGATTGCAATTGTACCTATGGCTAGGAGGTATAATAACAGCTGAGGCCTGTATATAAACAAACCTATGTGATGTTCCAGGTCAAATACCTGTTTGTATAAAATGATCCAACCATTGGTACTATTAATGGGGCATCCAAAGTATAACCATTGTTCAATGACTACTGGGCACAATGGCAACCGAGGTGTGGGGTTGTATGTAAACAAACCCATGTAATGTTCCAGGTCAAATACCTGTTTGTATAATCTGATCCAATCATTGGTATTAATAAGAGGATATACAAAGGATAGCCATTGAACCTTCAGCTACTTTGCAGCTTAGCTGGAGGTTTTGTAACCAGGGTAGTTGCGCTAGGATATATTTACAGAAATTAGCCAGCTGCAGCAATATCTATCAACATGATCAAGTGTAAGCCGGTGTGCTGCGCTTGGTTGTATGTAAACAAACCCACGTGATCACTATAAGGTGGCTGTCATAGTGATCACATGATTGGAAACCAGAATGGTTTCTCAAAGTTAGGCCCATGTCACTCCAGGAATCCGGACACTAGTGAGAATTCCCCAGGGACAGGATAACTAATAAATGAATGACGGACACATTTCTGCTTTGCATGCCTAAAATGCAGCAAAATCTTTGTCCCCCAACAAGAGAGCACCACTTGGCTCCTCCAGCTGATGAAGAAGCACCACATGCAAGCAAGCAAGTGTTCAAACTCCATGCTGTGTCCCCCAATGTGATCGGGGTACTGGCAAATCCTCATCAGCAATAGGATAACCAGTGTGACATTGGCCTAAGGGTTAGACCAGGCAGCACTGACTTGGAGTGAGAATCTCACACTGACGTGCTCCTAGTTCCAATCTGGAATGGAGATGAATATTTCTTGGAACAGGTCGTCATGCCAGGGAATGCTCATCTACAGATTGCGGGCAGGAACTGGTTAATTTATACTTTAGCAGGATGTAGTGCTGTGCTTATTCTGGCACATAGAACTAAGGTGGCGAAGGACTGACAATAAGGAAGTGTTGAATGGCAGAGCGCCCAGACAAAGTCCCTGTTGTTGGAAGACCCGAGACTTGGGTACATCGGTGCCTAGTATGCAAATAATTACAAACACCTTCCAAGATAAAGTCACCCCAATAAAGCTATATTTATATCCTGATGGCCAGTTATATTGTTTTCTTATTCTTTACTCATTGGATTAGCACAATGTTGATTGCCTTGCTGTGCGCACACCGCTTACTAGCACACACAAGGGTGGCTTCTTCTGCATGGGAAAGGAATCATCCTAAAACAGGATATCACGACCAGTGCTCATGCGACCAGCTGATTCTGCAGGAAACTAAAACTTTTATACATCGAGGAGCAGCATCCATTGTAAGTGATTTCATCAGCATGTGAAATAGCTTAAAAATCTTTTGACTTTAATATCACTTTCAGTGACTACTTTGTAGCCATTATAACAGGATAGTACGTTTGACAATGATATGGATTCTTTACCATCTTTTTGTTATTACATTTTTTTTATCAACTGTGAATTCCAAGGTGTCGTATTTGAAGTCACATGCTGGAGCGAAGGAAGAGACAGTCTTCATGGACCAGAGTAGCTGTCAGCCGGTTCCATGGTTTGGATGAGGACCTAAACAAAATTTGACCCTAGGCAACAAAGAGCAATTAAG